AGTGGCCAGGTCCTCTTAACTGCTTACTTAGAGCTTTATTCCCAAGAGCTCTAAGTTGGCTCTTGGGTCACACTGGGGAATTTGTCTCTCAAATGCATTTTTGTCCTATTTTGTCATTATTCCTGATTATTGCTGGGGCTTCATCAAAGAGGTGGTACTGGACTGGGGTACAATTTTGACAAGTTGAGATGGAACATGGGTGTTACAGACAGAGGTAGCAGTGTGAGCACAGTCTCGGAGGCCAGAGGTCCTAAAGGGGTGTTTGGAGCCAAGCCAACAAGCCCACTTGAGCTGCTGCTTAGGGGATGGGTGCATGGACGCTGGACACTAATCTGAAAAGGCACGTTAGAGTCACAGGATCTGACAATTTCCAAATAAAGTAGTTCCTGTGTTATGTCTTTTATATATGGAGTAGCATCTGACTATTTTAGAGGTGGAAAGTAAGTTGGACAGAGCTTCTTTCATCCTTTAGGAAGAATAACCTTCCAGCACAGGTTAGCCCAGAAAAGTCTGGAGGGAAGGGACTGGGCACATGAGCGGGATTGGCTTCTGGGGTTGTGGCTGCAGGAAGGAAGGAGGGAAGGAAGGAAGGCAAGCAGGCAAGCCAGCTTGGAGAGGCACTGGGCGCAGCTCAGACACTGTGGGTGGAGAGTGTATGATCGCAGGTGGCAGGACTGGCCAGAGAGGTTACCATAATGTTTCTCTGGGTGAAACCTCTTCATTTATGATCCACGGAAAACTGTGCCTTCCTTGGGGGAGAGGCTGCCTTATGACACTGCTATGATCACACATTTCTGACACTTTTCTTCCTCTGGATTCCTGCCACCTTCTTGTTTTTCCCCTCCTTGCTGAAACCTAACATTTGTGGCATTTGCTTCTCTTGGTGTATTTCCTTGTGTGTCTCTCTTTCCCACCACACCTCTCTTACCTGCCTGTATTTCTCCTCTTCCAGATCAGTGGTTTTACTCCCTTGGCATGGGAGCACCTCCTGTCTCCATGCCTTCTACAGACTGCATTACCATCTTACATGTTCGTGGAGCATTAGTAACATTATTACACAAGATCCCCAATCCTGCCAGGGAAGCAGGGAGCTGCTGAGACCTCATGCATCCCTCAAAAGCTGATGGATCCTTTGGGAAATGGGAACTGATGCTGCAACCCCAACCAAGTTGGCATTTTAATTAGCAGTTCTGCTCAATCGTAACCCAGACCTTCGTGTCCCTCTTTTTCCCTCTGATCCTTTTCTATCGACCATTAAATGTTCCAATCCCTCATTTCATTCAGAATTTCCTCTAAACAGACTTACTTTGCTGGCCTGGGTTCTGAATTCTGATGATGACAATTCACCAGGCCATTCCACTGACCTTGAGGGAAAATGATTTATTCATCTTGTAAATAAACGGTGACTCTCTGTGGAATAACCTGAGAGCAAGTGGAGGGGATGTCTGTCTAGATAGAAAATTGAAGATGTCTGGTTTTCACTCCCTGAGGAAGGGGAGCTGACATCTCTTAGCTCTCTTATGATCAGCTCCTCAGTGTTTGCATTAATCAGAGCAGGATCAGATGGATAGGGAGGCAAAATGCATCCCAGCTTGGCTCACTTCTGAAGGTATCCATGACCACATTTTGAATTTTACCTGACAAGCATCAAGAAACCCATTCCGAGCTGGACCTCATTGCACCTGCCAGATGGATGTGTTCCACAGCTCAGAGAGTGTGGACCCAGGGGGTTCTAAATCAGGCCACACTCACTCTTTTGCAAGTCAATAGATCGCCAAGCTGTGTTTTCCTTTCCTAACATCGCTTCTCTCTAACCTCTCCCTGCTGTTCCCACTGCCTTGTCATGGCTCAGGAGCACATGAACCTCAAAGGGACAATTTATTTATCCAGCCCACAAACGTATATTGAATTTCCACCATGTGCAGGCACTGTTCTGGGCCCATGGATGTATAGCATTGAACAAAAACTGAGCCAGTCCCTGTTTTCAGGAAACTTGCATCCCCGTAAGGGTAGACAGGAGATAAATAAATGCGTACCTCCATGGTGCATCTGGTAATGATACAAACAAAAGAAACTACAGCAGGGTGAGGGGACACAGTGTGACAGAGGAAGTGCTGCTCCAGCCGGCTGGTCAGAGAAGGCACTTGGGTAAGGGGGTGTTTGAGCAGATACCAGACTGACCCGGGGGACTGATCCTTGTGGGTCCTGGAGAACTCAGTATCCTTCCAGGCAGAAGGAGAAGCCAGTGGAAAGGCCTGGAGGTGGGGATGTGTTTGGCATGTTCCAGGTGGAGGAGGGAAGCCAGGGTGCCTGGAGTAAGACAGGGTGGGAAATAAGAAGAGTAGCTGGGGGTGCTGTTATGGAGAGAAGGCGTGAGGCCATTAAAGTTTGCTCTGGGTTGAGAAGCATTGCAGCATTTTGAGCGGAGGAGATATGACCTGATTTATGTTTTAAGATTATAATTCTGGCTGCTTTGGGGAGAAAAGGGAAGTGGATGGGCCAAATGTGAGGGAGAGTGACTGTTTAACGGGAAGGCCCCTGCGATGGTCCGGGAGAGGGGTAAGGTGGGCAGGCCCAGCGGGTAGAATGGGGTTATGATGAGTATTGAGAAGTGGTTTGATTAACCTCACTCCATCTTCGCTGCTGCTTCCGGAGCCAACACAAATCAGACCACACTGTGTGGTTACTCAAAATCCTTGACCTTTTGGGTGGCTCCCCTTGGTCCAGGACACTCAAGGCTTCCACGACTCCCTGCTGACTTTGTCTGCCTCACCCCAGTCCTATCCGTCCTGGGTCACAGAGACACTTTGCCAATGTCCTGCTCTCATCTGCCTCTAGCGCTTGCCTATTCTGTTCCCTGCCCCCCAGGTGTCCCATTGAGGAGCTTCTCTTCCTTTTCCCAGTGTTACCTTCGCATCACCTCCTCTGGGAAGTCTTCCCAAGCCCTCCAGGCAGACCCGAGAGCTCCCGGTGCCCTGTGCACACCCTTCCCTGCCGTGATTATCAGATGTGTTGTAATCGCACAAGCTCATGTCTGCCCCACCCCCACCCCCAGGAAACTGTGAGCCCTTTACAAGCAGAGGACATGGCTTAGGCCTGCTGGTGACCCCAGGACCTGGCACAGAGTGGAGTGGAGTGTGTGAGTGAATAAGCAGGAAAAGGCGACAGAGCTGTGTCTTCCACTTTCAACTACAGTGGACTAAGTCAGCTTGCGAGACTCTTGGCATTTTAGGACTTGGAGCTCCTTAAAGAACGTTTCCTCTGAGCGCGACCGGATTCTCTCCTAGAAAGCCCTAAACCCTTCGAAACTCTAGTAAAGCCACGTCAGTAAGACCCCGCCACAACCTCCTGGAAGAGTATCTGTGCAAGATGCGCCCTTTGTTTATGGTGGCTTCTGACCTGGAGGCGGAGAGCTGGGCGGCGCTGTGTAGCCCACTGCCCTCAGGGAAGGGCTACTTTTGGGAGGTTGTGGGTGGAGGGATCACAGAGAGGGCACAGAGACTGCTTCCTGGGCCCAGCATGTACTAAGCACTCATGAAGTATGGGAGCAAGGGAAGGAGATAGGGATCAGTGGGACACCAGTGGGGCTGGGCCGGGCACAGTCCGAGGTAAGAGAAAGGTCCTATCTGGGTGTACGTGTGGGGTTGAGGGGGGCACGTGGGGACAAGCAAGAGTCCCCAAGGACAGAGAGATGAGAGAGCCAGAGTTGCCGAACAAGAGAAGGAAGTGACATTGTCAAGTCTCTATGATCTAACAGATCCGTTTAGAGATCTTGTTTAGAAATTATCCCTTTTAATCATCTTCAGAACCCTGTGAAGTGTCACGGGCATAGGCTGCAGTGCCACCCAGAACTCGGGCTGAATCTTACCTCTGTCCCTTCCTAGCTGTGTGACATGTGGGATGTTACCTCTGACTTCAGTTTCCACACCTGCCAGTGGGACTGAGAGTGTCTGCACACCGGGTGGTCTTGAAGAGGAAATGGAGTAATGACAATGTGGGAAGAAGCCCAAAGAGGGTTCACCACAGAAGAGGTGCTCAAGGAATGTGGGTCTTACTCAAGTCCTGTTTTACTTTTAATTTCTGGTTGCAATGCTTTGACTTCATGAGGAAAACTCTAAGGAAGACAAAAGGGCCTGCACTCCATCATTTAGATACCCTGTTACGTGACATATGCCATGCATTGTATAGATTAACCTAACCCACAGACCCTCACCCCTGTTCTGAGAGAGAGACTCTGAGGTTAAGGAGGCAGGTCACCCCCACAAGATCACCCCACTGGGGTCATGCACAGCTTCACAGATTCTAACAGCAGAAGGTTAGAAATGGTCTAAATGGCCCGCCTGCCCAGGAGTAGGGGACTATTTAAATGCATCTTGTTTCATCCTTACGGTGAAAACTGCGTAGCTGTGAAAAAGAACGGAGCAACTCTCTCCGTACTGATATAGGATGCATCCAAGATAGATTGTTAAGTGAAAAAAAAGCAGTTTATCAGAAGATTGAATGATATGCTAGTTTGTAAAGAAAAAAAGGGGGAAGGGATAGAGAGCATGTGTGTGCTCGTGCACGTGTGCATATGTGCACGTCTGTGCGTGTGTGTGTGTGCGCATGTGCAATGCTTGCCTACACATAAAATGCCTCTGGAAAGATGCACCAACATCAGGTAGAATTAGTTGCTTTCAAGGAAAGGACCGGAGTGGCTGAGGACGGGATAAGGAGATTTTTCTCAGGTATATCTGTCTATGCCTTTTGAATTTGGGCCATGGGTTACCCAAATCATCTAAGTTACAGAGCTGAGATCCAAAGCTGAACCTCCCTGATCCCAAAGCCTCAGTCTTTTCCCCTAATCCCACTATTTCTCTGTAGGGCATCTGGGGGGTAATGGGAATCTGTTAATGAGGGAGTTTGATAAATAAAGACCAAAATTTCCACCGAGATGTGTTAGACTGACTCTGGGCGCTGACTACCAGCCTGTTAATTCTGGCTTCTTCTTCTGCACTCAGGGGAAGAAAGGTGAAGTGGGCCCATCTGGACTCCCTGGACCACTGGGGCTGCAGGTAACTGCTGTCTTTAAATTCCTTCCGTAGCTGCACTGCTTTCTCTGATCACAGATATGATCAGGTAGCAATTCTCAGGTTGGTAGCGGAATCCTGTCTGGTCACCTCATCGAAGCATTAAAAGAATGTTCAGGGGGTCATTCATCCTCCCTTCATCCCTTGGTCTCTCCTGTCATGTGCTTGGAAAATGACCATTGCTTGCTCCCTGGAGAAATTTAGGTCTAGAAGAGGCCAGAGAAGTGGTGACAAAATGATGAGCAATGTTATGAGAAAGAGAAAGAGTGGAGGCATGGAGAGTGGGCACTAAGGACCAGGTGTCCGTTGACAGAAAGCATGTAGCCAGCCAGGCGGAGGTGGAAGGAGGGGCCTTCCTGGCAGGGGCACAGCTCTGCCGGGACACCTGGCTTCAGACACAATGTGTGTGCATGAATGGACAGGCCCCTGATGTGGCTGGGGCTTCCAGCACCAAGCAGGGGCCCGTTGGACAATGAATTCAGAATTGCAAAGGCTCTCGGCTAAGAGGGCCAGAGCTATCAAAAGGGCAGTCATCATTCTAGGAGCCAATAGACCTGAGTACTGGTCTATGTCTGACTTCCAATACACTGTGACATTGACCAAGCCCCTTCCCCTCTCTGACCTCACTTTCCCCGTCTGTAAAATGATGAGGTTAGGGCCCCAATCACAATCTGCTCCTAGGCCAGTGATGTTTTACTCCCTGAATGCCCTCCCTCGTCCCGCCTCTCTGTGTAACTCCCACGGTCTTTCAGACTCAGCACTGATGGAACCTCCTCTGGCCCCATGCTTTGTCCAGCTCCCTGCTCCTGTATAGTCCCACATGTACCATTACTTGTGGTCCCCTGTAGACCTCACAGACACCCCACCAGGTGTGCAGACTCAGGGTCACTGTCCCCATTTCACAGATGAGGGGTGAGACTCCCAGACTCAGAGACTTGCTCAGGGCCAAGCAGACACCTCCTTCACTCCCCAGGTGACCTTGTCCCCAAACCCTCTCGGCTCCCCTCATTGTAGATGCTGCATCACTGTGAGCCCCCCGCCTTCATGTGGACAGAATGGGCGAACGCCTGGAGCCTGTGCCTGGCACTTGCCTTCCCTTCATTCTCTCTTTGCGTCTTGCATCAAAGTTCGCCACCTTTGCCCACAGGCTCCCCCGCCCAGGATCAGTAAATTCATGGGAAAGCCACACTGGTGAGGGGAGGGAGCACAGTTATGGAGACAGAGACCCGGGTTCCAACCTCAGCCCTTGCCACTTTCCTCCTGGAGCATCTTGGACAAGTGACTTCTTCTGAACTTCAGTTTCATCGTTTGGGAAAAATATCAATAAAAATAAAGGAAGAGGGCGATGAGAAGAGTGGGGATACAACAAAGGTGGTGAGGTCCCTGAGGCATAGTGAGCGCTAGCTGGGGGCTTTGCCTGTTCTCCTGGGTGTAGTGGCTGGGAGCAGGTGTGCTGGGATCACTAATGGCTTTGCCATCTGGCTCCTCCCTGAGCAGTCAGCTTTAGCGCCCACCTGTCACTGGACACCTCGTCTCCACGTCCAGCTCCCCATGGTGGTGGCCACACCACCCCTTAGGCATTGTCAGGGAGGCCCCCCCAGGAGACACTAACTGCACTGCCAAAGTGCTCTGACTGCTCTCTGACATATAAAGTGCTCTGTGAGTGATGGGCACCTCGCACGCAATCTCAAACTTCATATCAGCACCTCGCATCTGGGTCAGGAAATAGCATGGAATAAGGGAATATAAAATCAATCGTAATTCATGGTCTTCTAAAGACTCCACAGTCATGGTGGCATTTTGATGTTAATAGTGAAAAATAGAGTGCTTTTTACATTTGTTTTATTACCTTGCTTTCCTGTGAGCAAAGCTGGTGTGTTTCAAAAATTCACCATAAATGCAGCTCCATCAAATTACTTTCAGCTACAGTTTTTTTTTCCCCTACAGCTCTTTGTTTCCTACCTCGGAAAGTATATTTCTTTCTTTCGGTTTTAATTTTAAAGTCATTTTCACTCAGCGGATCTTTACTGAATGCCAGGCATGGAGCCGGATGCTGTAGATATGAGTATGATCAGGTTTTCCACGGCAGGGATTCTGCCAGAAACAGGGCACCCTGATATATTTGGGGATCTCAGTGGCTCAGAAGTGGGCAGGACAGAGTTTAGTTATAAACAGAGTTATAGTATGTACTACCTGGCACCCTGGATCAGATCACTAGCTGGTGGACACGAAGCTGCCTTCAAGCCAACTATGCCCAAATCAAGCAGCAGCGTTGCTCTGGTGATCTCTGCCATCTCCTCTGATTCACTCTTCCTGACATGTCTGCATGCCCACCTTTCCTAGGCCTGGCGTTGGTTCTCCTGCTTACCATCTATGCGTTAGTTCATTTGCTCATTGATTCATTGGTTCATTCATTCAAGAAGTGTTTATCCAGTACCCACTGTGTGACAGATTGAGCTCAGAGTGGGTGGAATCCAGGCAGCCACTATCCATGCCTGGAGAAGCCATATGTTAACGGTGCAGAAGGAGATGCAGATAGAGAAGGGTGTTCCACTGAGCTGAGTTCTGGGAGAGAAGGAGTCAGAGCTCCAGTACTGGGAGAGACATAGTCAGCCTCTCTTCCAGGACCCAGAGGAGGGTGCCTATGCTGATCTGAAAACTTGAGGTTGATTCTGTTGCAGCAGAATCTAAGTTACAGTTTTCTGCCCTGATGAGACGAGGAAAGGGAGACACATATGTTTAGTTTCTGTTATTGTCAGACACTCTTGTTAGAGTTCATATATAACTCTGTCTATTCTTTATGACCACCTGTGAGAAAAGAATGTTTACCCCACTTAAAATCTAAAGAAACTGGGCTCAGAGTTTAGTTAGTTTCTCATGTAATGGGATGACCAGCACTGCAGCCCCAGAGTGCAGGAAGCCCCAGGGCGGTGGGCATCCTTTAAGATTCTTTTGGTGCCACCTTTTCAAGATGAAAAATTTCACCTGCTAGAATGTTTCAGGATAAATGAACACATTCATGATGTCATAGGTGGTGCATCGTGCGTCCTGGCAGCCTTTTAGGAAAAATGGATATCTGTGTCTCATCTGGTCAAATGTTTGTGAAGGCAGTGCTGTTTGGTGTTACAGTCGGGACAGACAGAAGTCCCTTGAATTGGTGGGAACACAGCCAGTGGAGGGGCTGGCCCCAGAGAGGGCTGAGTGGCCTTGCAGGCCTGGGCCTCTGCACGGCAACCCACTGAGCTGGGCATCATTATGGCTGTGCCACTGGGGGGCCACGTCCTGAGGGGAAGCCTCACAAATTACCAACATCTTCCCCCAAGAGCAAACATTTCCAAGTCACACAGGCAATGTGATCGCCATGGTAATTTATGCAAGTAATTTTCATGCATCTTCAAATTCCATCCAACTTCATAAATCTACTCCAATTGGAACTAGGTGGTTATTAGGAATAACTATTTACCATTCCTTTATTAATGATAATTAGGTTAATGGGTTATTTATACATCATCATCGTAATTACTGAGCACATTTAATAGCTGTTTAGTCACCATCGTCTTAGAAGGATCAAATATTGTTTCATTAATGATAATTAGACTGATTGGTTAATTAATAAGTAGAGTCAGGTAGTTGTTTTCATTAGTAATAATTAAAATAGTCATTATTTTGTTGTTAACATTTAGATCTATTGGCTAATTTGTCACTTATTAATAATTAGATTGATGGGTTATTTGGGTATTTTTATTGACGATAAAAAGAGAAGAGAGAGAAGACACTTGTGTGAGAGGCTCCATGTGCTGGGCTGGTTCACACACCTTCATAATCCCGATGATACGAGGAGGGGCCTCTGACCTTTTTGTCACACTGGGGAGACCGAGGCACTGAGAGGTGAAGTCCATTGCCACGTCTGTTCCGGTAGCATGGGACCACGCAGCGCTCGACCCAGGCCATCTTAAACCAAAGCCCTAGTTTTTTATCTCTTTATGCCACTACATTACTGCCACTACTAAAGATATTAATAGTCCAACAGTTTTCACTTAAAATTACCTTCCAATTTATAGTTTTTAATTCAAATCCTAGAATAGCAGACAGGAAAGGTTGCCCTTGGTCAGAAACCCTGTAAAAATCAGGCACATACACTCCTATCTTGGTTCCCTGAAGAAAGAAAGTGACTAGTCTTCTTCAAAGTGGCACTTCATAATTCAACAAATGTTTATTGAGGACGTCCTGGGTGCCAGGCCTGGACTGGGTGCTGTTATTCAACAATGTGCAGAGACAATTGTGGTTCCTGCCCTCATGGAGCTCAGGGCCCAGGAGAAATAGACTGAACCCCATAGCTGGCCAGAATTCACACTTTCAGTTCTGGAAGAAGTTCTTAAAGCACCCATCCTGTACATTGTTCAGAGTTTTGAGACCAGGTAATCGAGATGGTTTGGTTTCCTATAGAAAGAACTAGAAATGGAATCAGGGGAAGACTACTTATGCAATCGACCATCTTGGGCATTTCGTTTACCTGCGCCTCGTTCCCACCATGGTCTCAGCTTTCTCACCTGTGCAAGAAGGGGGCTGTGTTTGATGGTCTTTGAGCTCAGCACCCCCTCTCTGTATAGGCTTGAATACTGGGAGACAGGCTGGCTGGCTGGCCCAAGATGGCACTGAATGTTGTTGGAGAAAATCATGTCACCTGCTGACGAAATCTGCTCCAACGTATGGTCGCAGATCAATTGTTAATGCAATTGATTAACAGTTAATCCAGTGTTGATGGGCAGTCACATGCCCTCCCATTCTGGGAGATGACCAGTTCACACTCTTGTCTGTGTTTAATTCTACAACGTTCTCTACGCTTCTCCCTGCCCTGCACAGCTGATGGCCTTGCCCTGACTTTGTAGAGGAGCCAGAAGCAAGCAGATGAGAAACTTGTCTCCTTCCAATGTCTTAGTCTCCTCTCACCTGCGTTTGGCCACACACGCTGCCGTTCCTCTGGT